ACACACACACACACACACACACACACACACACACACACACACACACACCACACCACACCACATCTTATCAGTCTTTTGTATGTCATCCCAAGACTTTAAAAACCAATTTGATTGAAGTAGATAAATATACAGACACTAAAACATCGACTTTAACTAGACAACCTGATGGGTTTTGAGCAGTATACACACTTAGGTACCACTGCCCCAGTCAAGGTAAAGAACATTTCCACCTTCCCAAAGGGCTTGTTTGGGCCCCTCCCCAGGCAGCCTTCTCCCCAAATCAGTGATCTACTTCTCGTGACTATAGATTATGTCTCTCTTCTCCAAAGTTTCGCATGAATGGAATCATATAGTGCATGCTGTGCTCAAGGTTCATTTGTCAGCTGGTGTTTTTGAGAATCATCTATATTATTGCCTGTTTCAATAATTTGCTCCTCTGTACTGCTGAGTAAGATTCCACTACATGGATGTACCATAATTTGTTTTTCCTAATGCCTGCAATTTTTCTTAAATTTTTCCTAAAACCATAATTTTTTTTTTTTTTTTTGCTTTTGCTTTTGCAAAATCAAAGTCCTTCCTCTTTCAGCCGAGCCATGTAAACATTTATGTCCCTTGTTTTCCCTGCTGGTGTTTTTGGCCCTGTCTTGGTCACAGACATCCTTTCTCATTGCTGTTTAGTCCTAGCATGTATAAGCCTTGACTGAGGTCAAGTCCAGCTCCACCGCCTTCCCCAGGGATGGTCCAAAATGAACATGCCCATCTCCTGGTCATGAGTCCTGAGTATCTGCAGCGTTGTTTTGTTTTGTTTTGTTTTTTCTATTACAAGTAACCCTGCCTAACCCTGTGAAAATCCTCACTCATAATACATTAAAAAAAATTTTTTTAAGTTTATTGATTTATTTTGAGAGAGACAGAGACAGCATGAGTGGGGGAGGGGGAGGGGGGGAGAGAGATACCAAGCAGACTCTGTGCTGTCAGCACAGAGCCCGATGTGAGACTTGGGCTCATGAACTGTGAGATCATGACCTGAGCTGAAACCAAGAGTCAGATGCTTAACAGACTGAGCCACCCGGGCACTCCAACTCATAATACGTTTTGATTCTGGTGACTGTTTCCTGGGGATATGTGGCCAGGTATAGGGCTTTTGATTGTACAGTCAACACTGCTTTTTCCGTTTATACCACTTGAAAATGCTACCGGCAGTGTAATGATTATCCGTTTCAAAAGCAAACAGCAGGTTTTCTTTGTGTTCCCAGCACCCAACATAGTATCTGAGACCCTGGGGAAAATATTATGGACGAATGAATACACGGGGTGATAATTCAGTCAACCCAAGAAATACTACATTCCCTGGAGGCATCGTCATGGACTATTGGAAAGAGCATAACCAAGTCAGGACCCAGCCTCAGCTCTGTGCTGTGTGATCTTGAGCAGATTAATTTCCCTCTCTGAAGCTGTTTCCTTGTTTGAAATTACATGAATTTATACCTGTCTCCTAGGTTACTAGGATGATCACCCACAATAAAAAACATGAAGAATGTGACACACAATGTCATAGTCTAGTAAGGTGACATTGCTGTTACTCTTTCCAGTCGGGACAAATAGCCCAAGTCCTAAGCTTGGGCTGCTTTCCCTGTCTGGACTGGGCTGTTACCACCGGTTGCCTGATGTCTCCTCACTGCTTAATGACATAAAATCTACACTGTTGTCATTGTTTAATTACCAAATAACTGGCATGTTCATCATAACACATTCAAACTGAGACCTAGCCATTGTTAAATTAGCTGTGCATTTAATCCAGGCCTTGTGTGTGTGTTTTCACAATTATATAGACCGGATATATGTATTTTTATGCAAATGAGCTCATACTATGTATAACGAGGTGCAGCTTTTGTCTTTATTGAACAACGTATAACAGAGCTCTTTCCTTGCCAGTAGACTGAGACCTGCTTGTTCCTCTTGCTGGGTGCAGAGCATCCCAAGAGGGAAGAGTCACCGGGGTTTAACCGCTCCCCAAAAGATGGACATTTAGCTTGCTCCCAGTATTTCAATATTATGCAGGAAATATTTCAATATTAACATGAAAGCCTACTCACCCCTCCTCCCCTCTGCTTCCCTGCTGGCATTTTCTCCCACCTCTTCACCCATGACCCACGTTGGGCAAACCCCTGGACCCTCAAACTCAAAGAGGCCTCAACGTCCCCCTGCAACCTCTTGGACTCTCTCCCCCTTCCATACACACACACACACCTGCTCTACCCCTGTTTCCTGCCCTTAGGCCTTCCCACAGAAACTGGTGGAACCTGTCTGTGCCTTCTGGAACTTCAGCATCAGGTGAGTTGCCATTTTCAAGTTCTTTAAATAAGACAATTGGGTTTTTGTTTTTTTTTTTAAGACATCCATTCTTCTTGAAGATGAGATGTGTTTTTGGTCTCCATTTGCCACCTTTCTTATGGGGGTGGCCTCAACCTCTTACGTAGCAGCTCCAGGACAAACTGGAGCAGGAGAATCTGTGACCCAGGAGGTAATGAGCACCCCATCATAGGAGATATGCAGGCTCCCTCTGTGGGATGCCTGGGAAGAGATTCATCCATCAAATAAGCATTAGACTTGACATCTATCCAAAGCCATGGCCCTTGGGCATTTGAAGGAGCAGAGGAGGGTTCAGAGATTAGCCCCAGCTCCCTGCCCTGTATCTTTAGCCGAACATCAATCACTGTTGCTTAGTAAGTTATGCAGTTAATCAGTGGTAATCGCCGGTATTAGCCCCATCCCCCTACTGTCCCTGAGAGTGTTAAGTACACTTTACAGATGGGAAACTGAGGCCCAGGAAAGAGCAGAGGCATGCCCAAGGTCACAAAGCTGGTTAGAGGCAGAGCATTGATGGGCCCCACGCTTTGGAGAGAGGCTTTCCCCTGCTTGCCACCTACCCCCAGCCCCATGTCCACCCCATTTCAGGAGCCCTTCTCTTCCCTCCCCTCCCCCAGCCCAGACACAGGGGGCTCCTGGGCCACTACCGGCTGCTCTGTGGCCACCCTGTACCGGGACTCTACCGCGTGCTTCTGCAACCACAGCACCAACTTTGCTGTCCTGTTGCAGGTGTATGACGTCCAGGTGAGTACCGGGGGGGGGGGGGGGGGGTAGGGCTGGGCAGGTGGAGTGGGCGAAGGTGATGTCAGAACCAAGTCTTAAAGGATGACCAAGAACTGAACAGAAAGGCATTCCAAGCAGAGGGCCAGTCTGAGCAAAGGCAAGAAGGCTAGACTGACAGGCAGGCTGGACACATTCTAGAACTTTGACTGTCTGGAGCTTCCAGTGCTAGGTCCTGGAGTAGAAGAAGGCGGAGGAGCAAGGTGGCGTGGGTCAGGTGGCACAGAGCCTAGAGGAGACCCGATGGGCAGAGCACGGACGTGGACATGTTAAGCAGGTGTTGGATGGCCCTGAGGGAGCCCCACTGGTGCCAGGAATGGGCTGGCAGAGCAAAGAGCAAAGAGGGGTCTGTGGGCCAGTCGCCTAAGCAGAGGGCAGGGGCCCTGCACTGGGGAACAGTGGGCAGACTGGGGGAGGAAGGGGTGGCCCAGCACAAAGATCTGGGCAGCTAGGGGACAAGGGAGTCATCTTGGAGAGGGCACAGGCGGGTAGCAGGTTTAGACAGGCCTCAGGGTGGAGGGCCGTGGGGCCGGTGGGTGTCGGGGCCGAAGAGGTCTCAGCTGGAGGCGAAGAGCCTGTAGGTAAAGCCACGGCTGAGCCGAACTCAACTCGGACCTCAGACGTGAAAGGAGACTGACCCAGGGGAGGCCCCTGGGAGGGCCCAGCGTTTACAAATTCCCAAATCCCCGGAGGAGAGCGGGGGAGCGCCAAGGGACTCTGAGGTTGAGTGAGGCAGGGCCAGAGCCTCAGGAATGCGGGGGTCACTTGGTGTGTTGGGGAACACGCCACAGAAGCGTGCTCGCCGACACATTTGCCCTGTGGAAACAGAGCGTGGCCGTTTTTGCCTGTCAGCTCCAGGCCCCTTCCTCAGCGGGGGGCGGTCACACGCAGTCTGCTCCCAGTGGGTGTGTCTGTCACTTCCGAGCCAGGTCTTAGTGGCTGCAGCGAAAGAAAGCCGAAAGCCGGACCCATCAGGGCCAGTTTAGGGAGGGCCAGCAGGAGAGGCCATGCAAACGCTCTCTTATTAAGTGCCTGCCGTGTGCAGGCCTGGCCTGGCTGGCCGGTGCTGTCCCCACCCCTGCTTCACTGCAGACAGGGAGCCTTGGGGAGCCTCGCCGGACCAGGGCAGGGCGAGGCCTGGTCTGGGCAGGTCAGGGCCGTGACGGGCTCGCTGTACTTTGGGGTCTCCGGCCCTCCCACAGAGAAGCCCCGAGGAGGAGTCGCTACTGAGGACGCTGTCGTTTGTGGGCTGCGGAGTGTCCTTCTGCGCCCTGGCCACCGCCTTCTTGCTCTTCCTGGCAGCCGGGTGAGATGAGCTCAGCACAGCCGCCCAGCGCCCCGGGGCCCAACCCACCCATGGCGGCCTCCGTGGGCCTCCTCCGGGCACGTCTCCCCCTGGCCCCGGAAGAGCCTGCCCCAGGGCCCCCCTTAGGGCTGTGGGCCTCCCGTGGAGCTGCCGTCTCTGCACGTGGTTAGCCCACCCCCAGGGACCCCAGCAGGCAGGGGCTGGTAGGGGCGTGGGGGCTGGTGGTGGTGTCCTTGTTAACCGACCCCTGCCTGTCCAGGGTCCCCAGGTCGGAGCGAGCCACGGTCCACAAGAACCTCACCTTCTCCCTGGCCTCTGCCGAGGGCTTCCTCATGGCCAGCGAGTGGGCAAAGGCCAACAAGGTGGGCACCCGGCAGGCGTGCTTGTGAGTTCGGGGGGGGGCCAATCTTTCCTGGGTCGCCCCCCGCATCGTCACTTGGCTCCATTTTCCTGGGGTGGGTGGGGACACGGCCAGAATGGTGGAGCTGGGCCCAGGGCACTTCCCCGAGACGTTCCCCGCCGGTACCTCTTTGGGTTGGCAATGCCAGGCATGGGCATGGGACCCAGGGCAGGGCTGCGGCCACTGCTGGCCTTGGTAGGGATCTGCCACCCTCCCGCCCACAGGTGGCATGTGTGGCCGTCACAGCTGCAATGCATCTCCTCTTTTTGGTCGCATTCTCCTGGATGTTGGTGGAGGGCCTATTGCTATGGAGCAAGGTGGTGGCCGTGCGCATGCGCCCAGGCCCCAGGATGACTCTCTACTACGCCACGGGCTGGGGTGAGGCCCCTCTGCTCCCCACTCCTGCTCTGTTCCCTACTCTGCCTCGCATGGCCTCTGTTCCTGTCCCACCCCACCACACCCCGACACCACCTGATCCCCATCTCCACCTGGCGCCCAGCACCCCCATCCCTGACGCAAGCTCAGTTTCCTCAGCCCGGTCGCCCTCCAGCTTTACCCAGCCCCAGCCCTTCTTAACCCTCTCCACTCCCACCACTTCAACCCCCCACTGCTAGAGCTGTCTCCCCGATTCGTGGCCCGCTGACCCCTGTGCCAGTCACCACCCTCCATCCCCCCTGACTCCCGTGCCTGAGCCCTCAGCTCAGTTTGGCTCTCCCGCTCCCCAGCTACTCAGGGCTCCAAGGCCACCCCAGAAGGATCGGGCCCACCCAGCCCCCTTCCCAGAGCTCCCCGTGCCCGCCAGTGCACCTGCAACCGTGGGACAGCCGTGGGCTGCGGCTCTGGGTTGGAGGCCAGGTCCTGGAGAGGACAGAATGCGTGGCGAGGTCCTGAGGGCATTTATTCTTCCCCTAGGCGTGCCCGTGGCCATCGTGGCCATCACGGTGGCCATGTCCCCCGACGACTATGTGGCCACTGGCCACTGCTGGCTCAATGTGCACACGGACACCATCTGGGCCTTTGTGGGGCCCGTGCTCTTCGTGCTGACTGTGAGCAGGGAGGCCTGGGGGCCTGGAGGGGAGGGTCGTACTGGGAAAGGGGGAAGCCGTTTCACCCACTGACACCGGGTCTCCAGGCCAACACCTGCATCCTGGTCCGCGTAGTGATGGTCACTGTGTCCAGTGCCCGCCGCCGTGCCCGCATGCTGAGCCCCCAGCCCTGCCTGCGGCAGCAAATCACGATCCAGATATGGTGAGGGCCAGAAGTGGGGCAGCCAGATGTGAGGCTCGTCGGGTGTGAGCATGTGTGAGTCCAGGGTGGCGGTACGTGGTCACGTGGCCACGTGTGCAAGGCTATGTACGGGCCTGCGTGTGCACATGTGTCCCAGCTTGTGCGTACCTGCACACTCATGCGTGTGGACACGTGTGAGCACGTGCCCATGCATGTCCCCTGGGGGGATGGTAATCAATCCTGAGTGTATGTGAGTGGGAGGGGATATAGACACAAGCCTCTGTCCTGGGGGCTCACCTTGTACCGATGGCACTGATGACCCAGTAGGGACAAGGTAGGGGAGACCCGGGGTTCAGGCAGTCCCCAGAAGTTCAGGTTCAGAGTGACGATTTAGGTCCCTACCCCCGCCAAGAATACCCCTCACTCTCCAGGGCCACATCCTGCCAGAAGGAGGACACCCCTGACCCTCCTCTTCCCCCCATTCTCTGCCAAAGGCAGTGAGGCCTAAGTCAGCAGGTCCCCGAAAAGCCAGGGAGCCCCAGGGGCCCCTGAGGAGGGAAGACTTCTTTAGACTCCACGCCCCCTGGATCTACTGCCCAGTCCTCAGCCGTCCCTTGGGACGGCTGCCCTGCCCTTCCTCTGAGCCAGGTTTGGGACCGGGACCCCGTCTCCCAAGTGCCGCTACCTTACTTCATACCACTTCTGGGTCTGAGAAGGGGCAGGAGGTCCGGCCGAAGCTTCCAGCTACACCTAAGTCAGGAGCGGCTCCTGATGTGTAGCTCCGGCTCCTCTCCAGGCACCTCCCAGCTGCAGCCCTCCCCAACACCCTGCAGGGCCCCCGGGCCGCGCTGGCCTCCCTCAGCCCCGACCGCTCTCCTGCAGGGCCACAGTGAAGCCGGTGCTGGTCCTGCTGCCCGTCCTGGGCCTCACCTGGCTGGTCGGCACGCTGGTGCACCTCAGCCCGGCCTGGGCCTACGCCGCCGTGGGCCTCAATTCCTTCCAGGTACCTCCGGGCCCCGGACCATCTGGGACCAGGGCTCTGACACGCGGTGGAGCTCAGAGTGACTGGTTTGTCAAGAGTTGGGGGAAGGAGTGTCTTCTCTGTCATGGGAGTCACCACGGCCACCAGGGGCATTGTCAAGAGGCCAGAGGGTGAGGGCAAGAGTGGGAACAAAGCCTCAAATCAAAGAGGCAGCGCCTCTTTGGGAAGGATTTGAGGCCCATTTCACAGCTGAGGAAGCTGAGGTCCAGAGACTCAGGGATGCGGCAGAAGTTCCAGCCCCCTGGCTGGTACTAGAGACTCTTTGGGTCTCGGCAAGAAGCCAAGGAAGGGGTGCAGGACACTGGTGACCTCTCCCCTCGGGGTCAGCGGGTGGCCTGCTGTGGGACAGTATCAGCTGCTGCATTGGTGAGGACAACACTTCAGAAAAGGGTTTGGTTAGGAGGACAGTGCCCAGCCCGCCTAGGTGAGGCAGTAACAGTGGGGCTGCAGGAACCCTCCTGGGTGCCTGTCAGGTCCCGTGTCCGGGAGCCACCACGGAGAGGGGTCAGACTGGGTCCCTGTCCTCAGGGGCTTTGCAGCCCTGTGGGCGACCCAGACATGGACACAGACAGGCACGGCCCGGGGGACCGAGTGCTGGGAGGGAGGTGGGTCCAAGCAGGGCCCTTCCTGCCCCTGCCCCTGCCCTTGCCCTCGGCCTCCCTTGCACCCCCAGCACCCCTCCCTGTCGTCTGCACCTACTCCTCCCAGCTCCTGTCAGGGCTGAGAAGTGGGGTGACCCGGGGAGAGACAAAGCAAGCTCAGGAAATCGGGTACGAATTCTGTAGAGTCATGGGACCTGGAGCTCATCCTGGGGATCCTCTGTCCTCTCCTGGGAGAAGGGGCCTGAGGCTGTCAGCAGCCACTTGGGGTGCCTCAGTGTTGCGGGCCCCGGGCCAGGTTCATACTTCTATCTCCGAATAAGCCTTACAAATGGGGAAACTGAGACCCCATGAGGTCATTTCCAGGGCCCCGCAGGAGGAAGGAGCAGTGCTGGGGCCCAAGTCCAGAGTCTGTGTTCTCAGCCCTCTGCACGTGGGCCTGGTCTGTTCCTGGAAGAGCTGCCCAGATTGGGCAGGGTGTGGGGCTGAGGTCGGGAAGGGCTCTGACCCAGCTTTTCTTCCATCCACGTGGTATTTGCCAAATGCCTACCAGGTGCCAGGCACCGTTCCAGGCACAGGGGACAGGGCAGGAAAGGAAGCAGCAAAATGCCATGCTCCTGTGGAGCTGACCATGGCCAAGGCCAGGGAGTGAAGTGTGGAGGGTGGGAGGGGGCAGGGAGCGAGGAAGGGTGCAGAAGGTGGTGACTACCAGGGTCCCGGTCCATGGTGTCGGCTCCCCCAGGGCCGTGGGGACTCGTCACTCTCGGCCAGGTGTGGGAGTGGAGAGAGGAAAGACGGGGCCACTGCTGGGGGAGAATGGAGGCCATGCCAAGAGAGGGGCCCAGAAAGTGAAGAAAAACTGGGGATCCAGTTATTCCCAAAGAAGCACAGCTCCCAGAGACCTGCGTGGGCCTGAGTGGCCAGGGGACAGGGGCGGTGCTGCACCCCTTCCCTGGCACAACAAGCCCCACGCTCCTGGAGCTCCCCCGGTTCGAATTTGGGCCACTGCCCGGTTAGCCCTCCACCCTGCCCCCCAAGTGGCATCCAGGGCAGCAGCGGCCCATCGCTATGGCGACCACTGTAGCTTCGTCCCTGCGTGGCCCTCAGGTGGGCAGAGGCGGAGCCATGTCTCCGTCTCTGAACTTTCTCTGAGGTTCCTTCTCTGTCTCAGGCTGTCTCCATCACAGCCCCCTCCCCCTCTGGCCTGGATCCCACCCGGCCCTCCCTCCGTGGGCCTCTCGCTGTCTCCCTTTTTGTTGACCCCTGACCCTTCTAGCTTTTGTCTCTGAGCATGACCTCTCTTCCCCTCCCAGTCAGCCTCAGACCTTCCTTACCAAGGTCTCCCGGTGAAGGAGGGGACAGGCTGCCTTGCGGGGTCAGATGGCATGAGACCTGGGCCCACCCTGATGTCCTGTGACCATCTGCTGGCAGGTCCCCCGGTCAGGCTCTGGGTCCCTGCCCAGCTTCCCTCCCCAGGCCTGCCTTTCCTCTCCCCTCTCCTCCATCTACTTGCTGTCCCTCCCTGTCTTCCTCTCCCTGCCCACCTCCCGCCGTCCCTCTCTCTGTCTGGGGCATACACCGGGCAGCACCTGCCCTCAGGACCGCCTTCCTTCCCTACTGAGTTGAGCAAGGAGCAGGCCTGGGGTACAGGGACTGAGCTCAGCCGGGCCTCGTTTGCCCTTCAGGGCTGATTTGTTTCTTTGTGGCTCCCGTGTCGGGTTTTGTGGTGGGAGAGCTGGGCCTCACTTTTAACCAGCTCTGGCTCACACTTACCTGGGCTGAGTCTTGTTAGAGGGCCCCGACACATTGAAACAGGCCTCAGTTTCCACATCTCTATAAGGGGGATCATATTCTCCACCTCATGGGGTCATTGTGGGGTTCAACTGAGAGGATACTTGCAAAGGGCAAAGTCAAATACCTGGCACACACCGGGAGCACTGTGAACGGGAGCGGATCGGTTTCATTCAGCCAGTCCGCACCTGCTCTGTGTTCTTTACTAAAGAGGATAGTCGTGCACAGAATCAAAGAATCTATCCTTGGAGGTCTCAGCCTGAGGGAGAGACAAACACCAAAACCACACTCCGACAGCCTGGCATGATTGAGGCTGAGAGACCAGAGGAACGTGGGGGCAGTGTGGGGACAGAGGAGCCACTCATGGGGAGGCGGAGAGGGTGCTCCCTGGAGAGAATGGTTCGCAGCTAACACCCAGACACGGTGAGGGGAAAGAATGAAGTCGGGGAGCATGGTGAGATCCAATGGAGACATGAGCGGGGGTCACATGAGCTGGTGAGAAATGGGACAGGAGGAGACATGGGGGCCAGACCGCACAGGGTCCCCTGAGCCGTTGTAAGGAGCTCACACATGATCCCGGGGGCACCAGAGAGCCTGGGAGGACGCTAGGCAGGCGCTGGTGTGGTTGGGCTGGAGTCTGGAAAGATGCCTTTGGGTATGAGGAGCTGGTAAAAGACAGGACGGGGAAGGCAGTGCAGAAGTTGCAGTGAGAGGACAGGCTGGCTGTGGGGGCCGGTGGGGGCCGGTGGGGGTGGGGGGGAGACGCCAGGGTCTGTCTGAGGCCTCAAGGAGCCCCCTGGACCCCAACCCGTGTGCTCTAGTCTGACCTCAGGACAGGGGCTGTTGCCTATCCAGGTAGAATCAGGAAGGCCCAGGCTCTAAATTCCATTCTGCTTAGCCACGCTCCAGGGCCTGGGACTCATTGCTCTGTCTCCTGCCCCAGGCCCCAGGGTCCCTCCCCATCAAATAGGATTAATCCACCCCCACCCCCACCCCCATCATGGAGCTGCTATGAGGGTTGTAACCCCAAGTTACTTTGTGAGTGGCCAAGACCTCTTGGTCTTCCCAGGCGTGGGGAGTAAGAGCCAGCTATGACTCGGCCACTGTGCTGAGTCCTTCACACACAGCGGGAGGCCAGGCCTCTGACACGGAGGAGGTTGGGAGAGACACTCAGCTAGAGGCACGAGTCAGAATGCATTCACAGGTCTGCTGTTCCAGGACTTGATTTAGCCTTGATTACAAGAAGGTGTGCCCCCTCCCACCACCCACTCCTGCAGCCATGAGGATGGGGCAGGTGGCAGGGGACAGAGGCGTAGAGGACAAGAGGCTGCCTGATGGCCAGAGGCTGAAGGTATGGGGGGTAATGGGGCAAGCCCCCTTCTGGTTCTCTCTGCCGTAGAATGTCACAGATGCCCCCTCCCAAGTGCAGGAGGGCACAGTGGGTCAGCAGGGTTTGTGATCATCAGCCTGCATCTCTGAATGTCTCAGGGTATCTCTGGGTGTGTTTCTGTTGCGGCCCCAGGCCAGGTGGGAGGGAGGGGGTCCCAGGCAGTGACACCCACCCTCATCCTGGGTCTGTCCCCAGGGGCCATACATCTTCCTGGTCTACGCTGCCTACAACGGGGAGGTGAGTCAAGGATGCTGGCTGCCGGGGGGTGAGGTGGGTGGGGCTTACTTGCTGTGGACCTGTGGCCAGGGGTCAGGGGGAGGGTCCCAGGACTGACCCCCAATTCCCATCCCCTAGGTCCGGAATGCCTTGCAGAGGATGACTGAGAAAAAGGCAACAGTGGCATTTATGGTGGGTGCAGGCAGGTGGGGATCCTGGGAGCCAGGAGGTCCCACTCACAGCCAGGATTCCAGTGCTGACACCCCTTTCAGGTCTGCTCCAGCCCCATAGGCCCAGGGTCCCACCCTAGGTCCCTTGGTCCCTGGGAGGTCTCTCAGAACAACCCTGTAGCCTTGGCTCCAGCCCGAAGACACTTGGCTATTAGAGGTAAGGCCACGCCACCTTCCAGTCTGAGTACTACCCAGTGCCTCAGTTTCCCCAGTGCTCAGGTAAAGCTGAGAAGGCAATGGCAGATCCTGTCAACCCATCTGAGAGACAAGGAGACTGAGGCCCAGGGAATTCTGCAAACACGGGGCCTGGAAGGTAGCTTAGAAATGGCTTATTTTTTCCCACACCACCAGGGAACAGGGGCCCCTGCTTCCTAGCCCAGAGGCAGGGTTTGCCCAGGGTCGTCTTCCTTGGGTCTCCACGCAGATGGGGTTTAGGGGTTCCCAAAGTCAGGTGGGTGGATGAGGTTTGGGGCCCTGTGACAGGGCACGGGGGTAAGGCCAGGCCAGGAGTTTCAATACAAGCTTCCTAGACCTGCTGTGTGCACTTGGGCAAGTTACCTTCCCTCCCTGGGCCTTAGTTTCTCCATCATTAATCTGTGGAATAAGTCTGAGTGGAACCTTAGCGTCTTTGATAATGAGGTCCTGTCCAGGGCAGGAGAGCAGAGAAAGAGCTTCCTGCCTCAGCCTCCTAAAAGTTCACCTACTCGAGTGTTTTTCCCCGGCTAGGGACCCACAGCCCCAGAATCTCCACAACCTTCTCCTCCATTGCAGAACCTGAGAGACCGGTGAGGCTGGGACAGGGGTGGCAGGGTTTTGCCAAGGGGCTAGCAAGTATGTCCCACAGGGACTAGGGTAGGGTGGGGGTGGGGGGGGGGCTTCCTCTGGGGATCCAAGGGGCCCCATTCCTCAGCAGGTGCGAGGGCACTGGGAGCCAATGGGAGGTGCTCACTGCACACTGGCAGAACCCGAATGCTAAGGCCATGGGTAGTGGGGGAGTCATCACCAAGGGAGCCGAGGGCCCCCAAGGCAAGGGGGAGCAGAAGGAGTAGGGGCCCACCCCCCTGACAGCCTCCTCTGTCCTCAGGCTGTGGAGCTGACAGCATTCAAGGCATCAGGTACAGCTCCCATCTCAGAGGGGTCCCCCCTCTCCCCTTGGCACCCGGACACCCCCTCAGCCCCACTGCACCAGGATGGAAGGGATTTGAGAAGCAGCCACACCTGACGCCTCGTGGAAGCCTGAAGTCTTCCATTAGCACACTGTAGGCCTGGCCCGGAGACACGGTGCTCTTTGGGAGAGGTGTACTTAGGGAATGGGTTTGGGACCCTTCCCAGAGCTGGTGCTGCAGGAGGGCCAGTGCGCAAGGAGCCCGCCTTCCTCTGTGCACCCACTCTGTCTGCCTCCCCCACCCCCCTCAGCCTCCTGGCCACATCCCACTCAGAGTCCCTGTCCTGATGCCTTGTGCCCTGAAATGACTTCCAAACCCGGTGAGAGGCAAGCGCTTTCCTTCTGGGTTGTTTCCCCAGCTGGACAGATGAGGGGGGCCTGGGGGGCAGCGGGGCAAGGCTGGGCCCATCCCAGGCGCAGCTCAAGGAGAGAGGACTGAGCCTGGGGAGTTCAGCCTGGCCCTAGGCGAGCTGAGGGGCCTGTGGTCACTGTCAGCTTCTCTGAGCCTGAGTTCCCTCAGTCTTAAAACATTGGTTTAAGACTACATAGGTAGGAGGGGGCCGCCAGGCACTGCCCAGCCTCAAACCAACCAAGGGATTCCTTCCGGCATGGGCAAGAGGCATGTTCGTGCAGCCCTAACCAGAGCTGGGTTCTGGGCTTTATAAAGCCCGGCATCTGCTGACTCCTTTAATCCGGGGACACGGGGAAACCATCCTCCCACCGTGCAGATGATGAAATTGAGCAGTGTCAGAGCTGGGGTCAGGCCCCACCCCGCAGATGGGGAAAGTGAGGCACAGGGGCAGTCACAGAGGTGTCAGCGGAGGCACATTTGAAACCCAAGTCTGTAGGACCCCAGCCTCCCAGCGGGCCTCCACCCTTAGCTGGTGTCCCCGTCCCCTGGAGTCTCCGCTCCCCTTCTGCAAAGTGCGCAGGAGGCGCCCCCTGCAGGCCAGCGCGCGGTAGGCCCTCCGCGGGGCCCGCTGGCGCCCCCATCCCGCCCCTCCCCCCACCCTCGCAGGCGCCGCGCGGGTGGGAACAAGAGCGGCAGCGGCGCCTCTGCGCTCAAGTGACAGCGCCTTTGTCTCTGCTGAATGGGTGCGTTGCTAAGGGCGCTCGTAGCAACGGAGCCGCTTCCACCTCGCCCTGCGGCCGGCCCCGCCCTCCTCCGGACCCCCAACCTGCCCCGCCCTTCGGGTGCCCTCGCCACCCCCACCCCGCACCCTGCGACCTTCTCAGGTGGCCTGAACACGAGGTGCCGGGGAGGGAAGGCTGCCAGCTCCGCGTCCCTCGCGATACCTGCCGGCCACCGCCCCTCCTGAAACCAGGGAGCCCTCTGGGCATCAGGTGTTCTTTAGAGAAACTGAGGCTCGTAGAGGGCTTGCGGGAGACTGCCCAGGGTCTCCCCAGTCCAGAATCCCGACCAAGGTCTTCCCCCAGCCTCAGTTCCCCTCCAGGAGTCCCCACCGTGATTATCTGCCAGCTCAGCCCAACATTTTCCTCCCAGGTTTCTAGAGAGAGTGCATGCGGACTTGACTCCAAGCCTCTGAAAGGCCCAACTGGGGGCCCCCCCAGGGACAGACAGCAGCCTCCGCCACCACCTACTGCCTCTCCCTCAGCCTCTCCCGACTTGCAGTAGGAGCCCCCCCCCCCAACCCCTCCCGGGTGCTGTGCTAACCCTGCCAGGTCCCACAGCTCAGTCCCCCTAACTTTCTGTCCAAGATTGTTACCCGCTCTGACCCTCCCCACCTGCCTTGAAATTCTGACAGCCCTGTGGTATCGCTAGCAATAAAGGGTACTCTTGTGACCTGTTCCTCTCTGGGGGTCACCCTGCCAGGCTTCCTGGGAGAAGGGTGGGACCAGGGAAGCTGCCACTTTGTCTTTTGGTCTCAAGACAGCCCCAGCTTCAACAGGGTAGGTGCAGCCAACATCTATTAGCACCTACTGTGTACCTGGCTGGTACTGAGCCCTTGACCACCTTAGAGCTGTGAGTCCTCACCTCAGCCCCATGAACACTATCACCCCTATTGTACAGAGGAAGAAACTGAGGCCAGAGACAGTCTCCCGGCTGGGTAACATGGGGGTCAGGGGGCGGGGGCAGTCACTGTGAGTGGGAGTCACCCAGGCAGACTGCTCGGAGAAGGCAGGGGGCAGGTGGGACGAGCTCCAGGTATGATGGGTCATCCTGCAGGAGGACTTGGAGTCTGGCTGTGGGAGCAGGTCCTGCCACCACTGATTCTGTGACCACAGGCCACGGGTCCCTTCTTAGAGCTGGGCTGGGGGCCGAGGTGAGCAGCAGTGATGATGTGTTCGGGCTTTGTGCCAGGGCGGGCCCTGAGCTGGAAGCCAGGTGAAGCAGGGGCCCAGGGGCTGCTAACACTGCCCTCCTGCCCTCAGCCTGGCTCAAATGCTCCTGGGGCCAGAGGATGTGGCACAGCCCAGGAGGGAGGAACGGGAGAGCAGCCTCCCTGGAGGAGGCAGGAAGCCACTCCAGACACAGGTGAGTGGAGGCAGGGCAGGGCTGCGTGAGAAGCCCTGAGACCCAGGGAGGCACAAGCTGTTCCCTGCTCTCTCCACCTTATGTGCCACTTCCGCTCGGGGCCCCACCTGGGTTGTCTGTCCGGGGGTGGTAGACCCACCATGAAAGGCCAGAAGTCTGGTTATTTCATTCTGGAGACGGGGGCTGTTGAACCTTCCAAAGCCCGTCATCTGCAGAATGGGGGACATCAGGCCCACCCCACAGGTGACAAGAGGGGTAAATGCAGTCCTGTGTGGTAGTCCCTGGGCCCAGCACACGGTAGGCACTCAGGAATGTCAGCTGTCTTCAGAGATGTTCAGGGAACCGTGGGACCGCAGAACCTGCTGCATGGAGATGATGTTTAAGCCCTTGAAGACCCCCCCCCCCACCCCCGGCAAAGAAAGAGATGAAAGACAGCGGGCTCAGAGGGAGGGGGAGACAGAGGCCGTCCTGCCTGCTCCAGGAAGACACAGCGGTGCTGCAGGGGGGAGGGGCGGGGCGGGCCAGGCTGGGTACCACCACTGAAGGTCCACAGAACAGGGCGCTCAGCCCGGCCACCTGCTGCCCCATTGCAGAAGCAGGGTTGCCAGGGAAGCAAGAAGGTGGCTCTGAGTTGGGCAGGCACTTGGTCTCTACGGCCTGCTTTTGCAGAGACCTCTGCCGCCTTCCAGGAGGTTCCTGCCTCCCCACCAACTAATCATATGCACTGGCAGGAGGAGAGGTCCAGGGGTGGGCACCCAGGAGTCCTTTCGGGTCTTCCCTCCTCCTGCTCCATACCCTCCCTCCCCACCACCCACTCTCTTTACTCTCCAGCCAGAGTAACTTTGCTTAGGTCCCCAGACACCCGTGGCTGACACCCCTCCATCCCTTTGCTCCAACTCTTGCCTCTGCCCACACTGCCCCCGACTGTTGTCTAGCCAGTGGACCTTCAAAACCTTCAAAACCCAGTATGGATGACCCCGCTGCTGTGAACACTTCCTGTCCCCCCCAGGGGCAGAATCATTCACTTCCTTATCTTACCCGGCCCCGGGACACGATGGATCACACAGGAACGTGAGATGACTAAGAGAGCCTTCCCAAAAGACCTGATGCTCCCCAGAGGCAGGAAAAAGAGCACCTACTTCCCTTCTGAAGGTGCCGGGAGGGAAAAGGATGCTCTCGTTGCATAAAAGCCACTGCCAAGCTGTGTGCCCCGGCATCTTTTTCTAACGTGCACAGAGACCTGAAGTGGACCAGGGGTGGCCGTAGGAGTAGTCAGGTTGGTCAGGACGATGGAGGTTTGAATGATGGCTCTACTCCCTCTTGGTGTGTGACGTCGGACAGGTCACCTCGCCCCCTCTGTATCTTGGTTTCTTCGGCTGTAATCTGGGGCTGCCACTTGCCGAAGAGGCTTTGAGAAGCAGATGGGAAGACAAAATGGACAGAGAAAGCCGGCGAAGCCCTGGGACAAGGTCTAGAGCAGAGGAGGCATTCCTCAGGTCTCAGCTGTGCTCAGCGGGGGTGGGAGGGCAAGAGAATCAGTGAGAGGGACTGGCCCTGGGGCCACCAGATGGACAGAGAGGAAAGGGCCAGTGCGCCAAAGTCAAGAGGACCCAGGTTTGAATCTGCCCCTGCAGGTCACTGACCAAGTCCCTCTCCTGGATTCTAACCGCTACCTCACAGGGCTGTGGTAGGGGCAGGGATACGAGGGGTGGCACACAGTAGGTGCTCATTAAATGACTGCCCCCTTCTGCCCAAGGTGGTTGAGGTGCCCCCATCTGCACGGCTGTAGTGGAACTGAGGCTGAAGCCCAGGAAGACCTAAGCATCTCCCAAGCCTCCTGGGTACCACAAGGTCCCAGGTATGAGGTGGGGCCAAAAGGCTCCCCAACAGTGGCTGGTGTGCCCCAACTTTGGCCCCAGATTTTGAACCAAAGGTTATCTGACTGTCACCTCCATCCCAATCAGAGCATTGCACCACCCTCGACCACCCACACCCACCTGGGAGGTTCCGCTTTGGCCCCGGAACATAAATAGACAAAGGGAGCTGGAAACTAATTGCAAAATTTATTCCAGGGCTGCAGGGGCTGGGGAGATTCTTAAGGGCACTTCTTGTTTTGGGGCTGTGGGTCTCTGGCCTTGGCAGGGGCACACATCATGGGCAGGGGCAGGGACCAAGACAGGGCAGTGGAAGGCAGGGGAGCACGGATGCCCAGTCACCTCCCACTGGGCAGGCTCAGCACAAGCTGCAGTGGCAACGTGAAAGCAGGAAAAACAGTGGACGCCCAGCCCCGGACAGAGGACAGCTAAGGCCACTCCCTAGTGCCTGGCCCTGGACTGTGTCTTTCAGGACATAGGGCAGGAGGCCAGGGAGCTGAAGCCCAGCTTCAAGGGTTTGCAGCAAGGGACCCAAGGGGAGGAGGCCAACAAGGGAGGGGCTTATCAGCAATGTCCCCAAGCTGGAGACCCATACGCCCTCCTCAAGTTCACCCATATTCCCATACACAGACACTCGGGAGCCCATCACCCCCGACAGGGCACTCTGCTGTTCATCTGAGGAGGGGCAAGCAACAGCTCTTCTCCGGATTGAAGTGGGGGCTCAGAAACAGCGGTCTGGCACCGCCCACGGGGTACTTGGCATGCAGGTGTTTGGGGAGAAACCATGGGCTGTACTTGGTGCTAATCCCCAAATCCCAGCCTCAATCCTCAACTCTGTCCCCTGCCCTGGACATACATACCTTTCAAGGAGCATCTGGAAAGAAACAAAACCCCTAAGCCCACAAACCTCTTGACTACAGCCTTGCAGATACATACCAGCCCGGGCTGGCCAACTGTGGGTGGGGGGAGAACGTGGAGTGTGCCAAGCTTCTCCTCTGGTGGGAGAGGGGCAGAAAGACGATTGTAGTGAAACTGTTTTCAGATAGCGTGTCAGAGTTTCCCCTGCAGAAGTCAGATGGGGTAGAAGGGCTAGGGAGGAGGTCTGTGTCCTAACCCGTCCCCCCGGAGCCCTCTAGGCCCCACAGCGCCTGCCCAATTTTGCAAACTCAGTTACCCCTAGTTTACAAAACAGAGGGCTTCCTTCCTGGTCTCTGGAAGGGGGTTCTGGAGACCCTCTCTTCTCCCCCAGTTGATGCCCGCTCAACCTCTCTCTGCTTCTGTTTCCTGGAGAGGGGGAAGGGATGACTTCTGACCCAAGGGACATGGAGGCCCTCCAGGGAATCCCGAACCTCCTCCCTGGACCTGTGCTCCGGATTCCGGACAGACAGCTGGGAGCAAGGGGAGGGGGAGGGGTGGTGAGCAGCTGCCTCCTTGGGACACTCGGAGTGGCAGGCAAGTGCCGGTGGGGCGGCCCTACCTCAGCCAGGCCCTGTCCACCCTCACCCACCTTCCCAAACACAGGGCTTCAGGGAGCCCAGGGGCAGGGGCTTACAGGGTGGGGGCTCCTGGATCGGCATAATAAAATAAACCATCTGGAGGGCCCCGGGGTTGGCTGGACCCCCACCCGGGCCCCGGGCCCAGCCCCACCCAGCCCAGGCTCAAGTTTGCTTGGCTTGCAGCATCTCGATGAGCAGGTTGTTGCGGGGCATCTCATTGCCCAGGTGTTTGTGGTACAGGTATTCCTTGGCCTGCATGCTCAGTGCCCGCACCTCCACCAGGCACAGCAGCAGCTGCTGGAACTTGTCCCCGCAGTGCGGGTAGTGGCACAGGGTGTAATCGAGCAAGGCGGCATTGGCCTTCTCCTGAGCATCCTTCACCAGGCTGTGGTTGTTCAGGAACTTCACATCTGCAAAGGGAGGAGCTCTGTCACGATCACCAGCCCATCACATCGTCAACGGTCACTGGCAACATGAGCGCCAACATCCCCATCAGCACCAAAGACAGGGGCGCTGCCACCGTCAACGACGCAGTCTTCCAATCGCCACGGCTGAGGAACACCGCCACCTTCATCAATCACCGATATCGACGGCCCCGGCTTTCTCCCAAACTCGGCCACTGCCACCATCATCAACCAAACTGCAGCCATTCCGGTCACTGCCATCATCGGCAGTCACCAACCCTGACCCCCGTCATTATCACAAACACGGCCACTGCCACCATCACCCACCCAACCACCATCACCTGTCACCATCATTACTGCCACTGTCATCATCACATCGGTCATGATGAACGCCCTCATCGTCTCCAAAACCACACCAACATCACCAGCTGTATCCCTGGACGTGTTATTCGACTTCTCAATTTCCTACAGAACGGTGACAACAGCACCTAGTTCACAAGACTGTTGGGAGAATTTGGGGACTCGACAGGTGGAAAATGCTTGGAGAACAGCGTCTGGCACGTAACAAGACCAATTTGTTACCATTGCTATCTCTACTCTCACCCCACCATGGTCAACACCGTCCCCATCGCCGGGTCAAAACCTTCCTGTCACCATCATCCCCATCGTGGCCACCATCAGCACCATCACCAGACAGGCACACTGTAATTGCAAGGGTCCCATCTCCCAGCCTCCAGGCACATGTACTGGTGGCCCTATTCTAGACAGTGACAGGCACTCCTGTGACCAATCAAGAAGCTCCAGAACCCCAAGGAGATTCTCTCCTGGGGCCCCTGGGGGGACACGGATGTTCACTGCAGCAGCATTTACGGAGGTGGCCTGGATGGCTGTGTGGTGGCCACACCACAGAGAGTCCTGTGCAGTAGAAGTAATGGAGCAGACAGAAAAAATGGAAAGATCTTTAAAAGCATAGGGCTAAGTGGAAAAAAAAACCAGAGAAGGAAGATCCAGAATGAGATCTACAAGACAGAGCCATCTACATAAATTAAAAGTGCTTGTACAGAGTGTGCACTTTATGTGAGAACAGGGACAAAACAAGGAATCCAGGTTAAACGTGAAGGCATGGCTGCCTGTGGGAGGGGCGGGAGGGCAGTCGGCTCTGCGTGGACCAGGGATCACCTGTGCCAGGGAAAGAAGGGTGTGACCAATGCCTCCTCCGCACCCAGTGGAGGTCCAGTGAAGATACAAAAAATAAAATGTCTCTGGAGTGAGGCCGATGGGGGTTCAGATCCTGGCCCCACCATTTAGGAGCAGTGGCTTTGTGCCCTGTCCCCTCCTGGCCTGCAAGGTCTTCTTTTGCTATGAAAGGGGCGTGCCCACCTTGCAGGGGCCGGAGCTTGGGTCTGGGGGCCTGCACAGGGGCCTAGGCCCCCAGGGGCACCCAGAGAGGGTCCATTTCTTGTCACTAGAGTCCTCATCACTGCTTGGCAGGCCTCTTTCAGCTCCTGGGCAGCACCTCCAGCTGGTGACCTGCCTATTGGGTGAGGTTCAGCAGGAATCCACAGAACTGGTCCCCCATCCCCCAATCCAGCAGGGCCTTGCCTGGGATGTGGCGTCCAGTGGCTCAGAAAATGGTCATCCATCCACTTTCCCTCTGCCCCCATGACTACCAGCCCTACTGCTGCGGGGGAGTCGGGAGCCCAGCATGTGCAGCCCTTGGCCCTTCTAATCCCTCTTAACACCCACTGCGCCAGGAGGGCCTGATGCTCCTGGCAACCCTGATCCCCAGCCGCCCCCAGTGTGCCCGCTGAGGCCTATGTTGTCCAAAGTCGGATTTAGGGAAACCCGAGCTGGGCCCAGGGCGTATGGCAGGATCTGGCCCCAATCCTCCACCCTCAACCCTGGCCCCCTCATCTCTCTTCAGTAAGTGAGCCACACTCATTTTCTTCCTCGCCTGCCCAGGATCGCCATTAGCCCATAAGGTGCCTCTGTGCCAATTAGAAAGAAGTTCCCTTCTGTCCACAGAGACAGTATGGCAAGGGGCACACAAGCTGGATTTCGGCCCCTATTCACCCCCTGCCTAGGTGCCCTTGTGCAGTGAACAGCCTGTTCAACTGTACATTGCAGCCCTGCTCCTTAGCCTGGACTCCTCCAGATACACTCAAAGGTCATGGGAAGCTCCCAACCCCTCCAAAGCTGACCTCCTAGGCATAAGAGGTGACTATTGGCCCCATGTCTACCTCAACCTCTTTTCATCCCATAGGGTCCTGTCTACCTTCACCTCCCACCACTCCTGAGGCTGGGCAATTCTCCTGACATTGTCTTCTGACCTGGGGGTCCAGAGAAAAGTAGGGACCAGCTCAAGGCCACACAGCAGTAAGGGAGCCCAGAGGAAACATCTGGGGGTGGAGGAGGATGGGCTAGGATGCTGCAGTGGAGTCTGCAGTGGGAGGGGACTGGGAGGACCAGAGCCTTGGCTTTACCAGGATTTACTGTTCTCCACAGCCCGGGACCAGGGACAATGAGGTGGAGTGCAGGGGGTGGGTGCAGAGCAAGGACAGCTCTCAGGGACAGCCCCCATTCCTAGCTCTCTGCAGACTGGAGACCCCCGCTGCCCCCATGTGGTGGGCTACAGGGCTGGGGGAGGGAAGCAGTCACCAGTTGAGCCCCAATGACTACAGTATAAGTGCATCCGGTTTCCCAGGCGCCCGCTGGGCGCCGTGCACTGACTCAGTGAATCCCCACAGACACCCAGGCAGGCAGGAAAGGGCATCCCCCAGGCGCAGGGACAGTGGGCTGAGCCTGGGACACCCAGGAGATGCCCGAGTCTGGATTCGAACCCAGGTCTGCTGGCTCCAAAGTCCAGTGGGTAAGCACAGGCAGGGTCAAGCTTGGACATGGGTTCCTGAGAGACTGGATGTGAAAACTTGACATTTCATCCAATCCAGGGGTCCTGTCCAAGGGCCCTCATCTCTGGGATCCTAGGTTTCCCCAGAGGGTCGACTCTGGACTCCATACTCACTTTTCTCCTCACCCTGGAGGGGACCATTGCCAAGTCATATGCCGTCTCCCACCTCCCAGCGCCTCCATCTAGAGGGACTGCTGTGAAGACCCTGCGGGATGATGGGTGTGACAGAGCCACCACCCCACCAAACACCATGCCTTTCTCCCACTGGACACGGGAGCGGGGGTCACACAAACCTGGAGACACCCCCTTAACAAGCCAGGGTTCCAATCCCAGCTCCACCACCAGCCCGGCGACCTTGGGCAAGGCCCTTCCCCTGAGCTGAGCTTCCTTGTCATCTGCAAAATGGGGCCAAACCAATCTCTGCCTCACAGGACGCCCCAGGTCCGGACCTCATCTGTATGCCAGCTCTGGGCCCTGGGATGCCGCAGGTTGGAGACGGGTACGTGGGAGAAAAGCCTGGCGTGCTCCCCCCCAACCCCAGCCTGCAGTTCCAGTGATCCCAGAGGCGGAGGGTGGGAGGGGGGGGGGGGGGGGGGGCGGGGTGATGCCCCCCCCCCCCCCCCCCCGCCTCAGAGAGCAGCCTGCTCTAGCTCTGCGGCGCTGGGGGCCCCCCGGTTCTCAGAAAAGCCCCCTTTTCACGGTTTAATTGAATATTTGAATAATCCTTTCATTCCTGCGAGGCATAAAGAATGTTGTCCCAATCGCGGTGACTCAGGCAGGCGCCCCCGCGCACAATGGCCCCTCGAGTGGGGCTGCTATTCAGGCCGCCTTTTGTTGGCGCGGAGCAGTGGGGAAATTGCAAACGCTTGAGGGAACGCTGTTGCCGCCGCCTCAATGGAAGTCAGGAAATCGAATGTTAGGTCAATCCATTAAGCTTCGATTAAGTCCTCTGCGGAACAATGCCAGCCGGGCCCATCTTCATAAACACCGTGATCGCCAGGAGAGAGGCACTAATTTTAATTAAACCTCCTTACCTGCCTCCACGCCTGCAGGGAGACAGCTATTTAGACGCCAAATGGCACCCTTGTGCGGAGGCAGGCGGGAAGGAGGCGCTGAGTGGGCTGGAGGCGGGGTGCGGTGGGGGACAGTCGTCACAGGGGCTCGGGCTGCCCAGCCCAGGGAGCCACCGCCCCAAGGGTGACGCCCAGCACACCCGTTGGAGGTCTACGAGCAAGTGGCCATCCTCTCTGGGCTCCAGTTCCCTTGGGGACCTATTCCTGGTGGTCTGGGGCTGGAACAGGGGAGAAATCCCCTCCCACCTTCCCGACTCTGGGCAAATCTTCCCCCTCCTCTTGCCCAAACTTGTCTCCTTCACTCCAGCCCTGGGTCTAGCCTCTTGCAGGGCTCCGGGCTGCCACCTGCCATCCCGCTCCCAGGCTGCAGTTGGAAGGACCTTGCTAAAATGCAAATGTGATCATGTTACTTCAGCTGAAAAGCCTTCCCAAGGTAAGGGTCAAGGTACTTGGCCTGGCATTGGAGGCCTCACACAGCTCCGTCCCTGCCCAACCTCCCAGCCTCCTCTCCACCCCCCTCCCTGCCCCACAGTCACACCAGACTTTCAGGATTCCCCATCCCTTTGCACAAGCTCTGGCTCCCGTCTGGAATGCCCTTGCTGCTGCTTGCTTTGTTTCACCTAGAACACTCCTACTCATACCTCAAGGCCCAGCTCAGAGGCCCCTCTTCCTCCGAAAAGCCTTCCTTGATATCTTTGGTGGGGTTGGTTCCTTTTCTTTGGCCCAAATCTGATCACACTGGACTGCTCAGTCTCCTTCTGGAACCCGGAACCTGTCAGCCAACAGCCTCTGTGGCTTACCTGGCCTCCTCTCCCACTACCTTCCCAGGAGCTCAGGCAGGCCCAGGCACCGGGACCTCCTCCCCACCACCCATCCCAGACTCAGCCTCGCTGGAGTTTGTTTCTGACTTGCTGGGCTGGGCATTTCCCCCACCCACCTCAGCCAGACCCTCATGCCTGTGACAAGGCACTGTGCCAGACACAGCACATGATAAAGATGGAGACTGATTCATTCATTCACTTCATTCATTCCTTTGTTCATTTGCTCACTGATGGTAATGACGGTTAGAAGGAAAACAATACCCACACATTCCAAGGGGCCAGGCCACGCTCTGAGTACTTGGGGGGAATCCCCTCATCAAATCCTCATAGCAAATTAAGGATTATTACGACGGCCATCTTACAGATGGGAAAAATAGAGGCTCAGAGAGTGGGGTGACTTGCTCAAGGGCACACAGCCAGAGTCCAGATTTAGAATCCAGGTGGTCCGTCCCTAGTCCCCATCCCTAACTGCTGTTCCACCCTGCCTCGCACATGCGCCCAGGTGCACACATGCGTGCACATGCTCTCGCTCCTGAGTCCGGCCCCTCCAGCCTATGCCAGCCAAGCACTGCAGACAGTCCCCATCTCCCAGGCCTCAGCCACCTCCTCTGGAAAGCAGGATGAAGGCTGGCAAGAAGGAGGGGCCAGCACTCATGCTTCTGAACTCAGCCACTCACCTGGACCCAGGAAAAGAGGGCTGGGCTCAGCCTTGCTGTCCTTACACCCATACCAGGAGGAGTCCTGCATTAATCGCCCGGTAGAGGCCAGAGCCATGCTGGCCTAGCAGTCCCCAGCACCCAGGGCTTTGTTGGGAAGAGGGGCCGAGGCTGCAGGGGTGTGCCTCAGGCCGGAGACATGGTGCCCTCTCTGCAGGAAGGCCTGGCCAAGGAGACTGATGGCTGGCATCCCACCTTCCACCCACCCCTCCTCTGGACCTCCCCAGGGGCCTCTTGACGGTCAGGTCAAGAACTGTCACCTCACAACAGCCCCTACACCGCCGCAGATCTCTAAACCCCTCTTGCCTCCCATCTCCCATCACTCGCCAATTACAGATTCTTTATACAACATGACCCGTAAAACCCCACAAGCCTGTGAAAGTTCTTAGTCTGCACATGTGCGAAAACAAAGATACAGAAGCAAAGGCACCGACACGCACATACCTCCTGGGGTGTCCACACCCCCAACCACACGCAACCATGGCTTTGGCCTGAGCCAGTTCCCAGAGCCTGGCAGCTCACAAAGACAAGGCTTGGAAGCGGGTACCACTGTGGGGAGAAAGGAAGGGGCTTCCCCCAGCCTGGCCTGGGACCCTGAGGACCCTGCAAGGGCTCTAGGCCCCAGCTCCTCACTGGCAGCCCAAGATTCTGTCCCTATCCCACACCTTAGCCGTCCCCTACCAACCTGTGCAGCCTTACAGGTAAGCCCTCCAGCTACCCCCCTGCTGTGCTGGAGTCGGGAGACCAGCCCAGGCACCCAGCCACAGGGCCACAGCCTGAGCACTGGGCTTCCCACAATCGCAATCAACGCTTCATTAATCACCACCCCCCACCCAGCTGACTCCTTCCCCTTGGCTTCCCCAACTCCCCCCACCCACTCTTGAGCAGGCCCTCCCTCACTGACTGGGGCCGATGTCATCTGCCACAAAAATGACATCTGAATCCTGCCTCCTCCCCTAATGACAAAGCATTCATGCCCCTCTGTTCTGACCTTCCATTCCATCTATACCTCTGCTGAAAGATCTATCCCTCCGGCAAGCTCCTACTCATCCTCCAAAACCCTGCTCAGATGTCCCTCTTCCAGGAAGCCTTCTAGGCAGAGCCCTTGCTCCCCACATGGGGTTCCCCATCTGTCTGTCCCCATCCTGACAGTGACAGTGCTAAGCTGAAGGCCTCTCCTGGACTGGGAGCCACCAAAGAGCAAGGACATGTCTATGTTCACAGCATTGCTGGACACAGGGAAGACGCTGGAGATGGCTTGTTAGGTGAAGGAGGATGGCAGGCCAGCCTGAGGAGAGCCCAGAGGAGGGTGGAGGCTGGGCGGGTCCAGAAGGCAGTGAGAGGGAGGCACCTGACTTGGGGAGTAGGTCTGGTGAGCTGGGCTCACCCTCTGCCGCTTCTCTGCTTTATTTCCTTCCTTAGCACTGACCACAGTCTTCCAGGTGATACGTTCTACTAATCATTTCAGTGATTTCTGTATCTCACTAATCACATTGTGCTTATTGTCTCTCCCCCAAGAGAAGGTCAGCTCTGTGACAATATGGATTTGGGATCTTTTCTGTTCACTCCATGTCCCCAGTGCCTTGCAGAGTGCGGATGGTCAGCAAGTGTTTGTAGAATGAATAAGTGAGTGAGTGAGTGAGTGAGTGAGTGAGTGAGTGAGTAAAGCGTCTGGGCCCCAAGGAACCCAGAGCCAGAATGTGGACCCCCCCTAGAGCAGGGAATCAGGGAAAACAGGGAGCCTGGGATGGCAGCCAGGGAACAGAAGCTCCTGAAATCACACAGGTATTTTCTGGAGGAGGGAATGGGCACCTTTCTAGGGCAGCCAGACAGGACTTTACGAATTCTCAGAAGGAGTCCGTATCCCACACGGGCAAATCTTAGACATTGTCTTGGTCCTCTGTACTTTCACACAGAGAAACTGAGGCCCGGCGCCGGGCCAGGTCCCTTCATACCCTTGTTCACGACAGGAGGGGTCCGTGCCCCCCCAAGGCCGCCAGGGGCGCAGCCTCATGGAGGCCTCTCGACGCCTGGCCGGCCACCCGCCTGGCCCCCCGCGCCGCCCCGCGCCGGGCCTGCTCACCGAGGCTGAAGAGGATGAGGAATTTGAGGCAGACGAACTCCTGGCGGTCCAGCTGCAGCGCGTGTAACTGCAGCACCAGCTCCTGCGCCCGCAGCACCAGGCTGTGCAGCAGGGAGCCCGCCTGGGCGGCCACCGCGGTCAGCTCCACCTGGACGGACAGACGTCAGCGTCGGGAGGCGCGGGCCACAGGACGGGCCAGGGGTTCCGCGGGCCGTGGGCGGGAGGCTCTGACGAGGGACGGTGGGGGGAGGGGCGGGGCGGATGGGAGGCCCTGGGCGGGGCGGGGGGGGGGGGGGGGTTGCGGGACAACATCTCCCCGCGCCCCGGGAGCCCTCCAAGCCCCAGTTCTCCCCACGCTGGGCCCAGCTTTCCCAGGTCTCCCCGCGCTGCCGGGAGCTGAGGGCCTCGCGGCAGCAGAGCCAACACGGGGCAGGCGGGTGCAGGGGCAGAGCTGGCGGGTCCTTCGCACACAAAGAGCTGCCACCAGGCCCGTGGTACAAGCGGCTTTTGCGTTTTGGGTGATATCTGCAGCAAAGGCCACGCGGCCGGGTGTGGGGCAGGGTCGCGGGCGGGTCCGCCTGGACGCACATGGGTTCGGCCACTGACTGTTCAGGGCCGCACACACGGCCACACGTGGACACCCAAACTGGGGATGTGGTCACACCTCAGCTCACACTCGCTCACACACGCACACACCCGGACACACTCCCAGGGCGGTCTACCCACTTCATGAAGGGAACACGCACACACACACATGCCCTGGTACGGTCACATCACAAGGTAACACGACAGACACGTGCCCGTGTACGAGTCTCCACTGACATGGTGACAGGCACATCTCAACAACCACACACTTACCTGTGTGGAGATTTTGTACAATAAAATACAGTCGCACACACGCACACACGCACACACACACACACATACGCACACGCACACTGGACATCCCCATGGCCTTCAGACGCTTCAGCCCGCACACATGCTGACATGGGCCAGTACAAACACACTCACACCTCAGATTCTCCTCAGTGCATTCAGTGTGACCTTCAAGTCACACCCTTGGGACCAGCACTCCCTGGCCCTGGATGTCCTGAGACTCTCAGGATAAGAACTGAGCATGATGACTGAGGGCCTGGGTTACAGATAGGGGATGGGGAGCAGGGCCTCAGCCTCCCCGCCCCCCACCCCTAGGGGGCCTGGCGGCCCACTCTTGCTCCTGTGGCCCCCTCAGGACTGATGCTCCCTCCACCAGCCCAGGCCCTGGCATCAGCCTCTCTTCTTTTTCTCCCTCCTTCCCTCCACTTTTCCCACACCTCCTCCCCGCAGTTGGGGGTCTTCCTCCTTGCATTGTCCCCTTCCAGGTCCCCAGCACTACACAGTGGCCTCAATGCCCTCAGCCGCTATCTTGCCCTCTCCCTGGGCTTCCTCAGAAACAGCCTGCATGAGCCCTTCTGCGCTTGAAACTCTCCAGTTGGTCCTGTTGAATCTCAGGAGTTCCCAGCTCGTACCCTAGTGCCCCTAATCCCTCGCTCTGGACAGAGGAGCAAATTCCTTTGCCCTTCCTTTGTCTATTCAGGATTTAGGGCCTGCAAGGTCTTGCCCACCCCAGCCCCCAGCAACCCCTCCAGGCTTACCTCTCACCTCACCCCGCCCACCACAGGGCTCCTGCCCCCCACCCCCATATACTGGCAGCCCCTGCTGGCTCAGCAGTTCTCAACGTCCCCCTGTACGCCTTTGCCCATGCTGTCCCCTCTGCTGTGGTGTGGGTGAGGCTGATTCCCCCGCAACCTTTTACTACCTGACCAACCCCTCTGTGTTCTTCTAGACCCAGTGCCACCATCACCTCCTCCCTGACCTCCCCACATCCCTGAGATGCTTCCCAGGGGCTGCCTCCTGTCAAGGCCAGGGCCAGGGCAGGTCAGAGGGAGATCGGGCATGAACTTGGGGGAAGGGCCGACATTTCGGCAGCCCAGGGCCAGCCCTGGAGAGGCCTACGATCTCTTCCGGGCTCAGAATTCTGGAAGTGTCCATGAGGGCCTGGCACAGGGCACAGTAGGGTCTGGTCACCTCCTGCCCGGTGACCAGCAGGATGCTGCCCTCCTTGCCGTGTTGGATCTGGCGGTAGATGTGGTCGAACACCAGCAGCTCGCTCCAGCAGTTCTGTAGCAGGGTCATCTGGTCGGCCACCTGCAGGGAAGAGGCATATGCCGGTGCGGGGTCCAGCCAGGGACCTTCCCCTCACCCCTCCCTCTTCCAGCTCATAATTCAGGGGCTCCCTTGGGTATGTGACCTGGGCAGGCTACTTAACCTGTCTGTGCCCTTTCTGCCTAGCTGCCTGCTTCATCAAAGTGTGGCAAGGTTCTAGCAAAACAAACCAAAACCGAGGTTCAGTGGGGGTGCTTAGAGCTCACATAGGCCGGGCTTCAGGCCCCAGCTCTGCTTCTACAAGTTGCATGACCTTAAGCAAATTCTATAGCCTTCTGAGCCTCTGTTTTCTCATCTGTAAAGTGGGCACAGTATTAGAAGGTGGTTCGGCACATGTTAGGTACTCAGTAAGTATTGGTGAATGATGTTCACGAAAGTAATTTGTGAAGACGTCCTTCAAATGCGAGGGGAGATGATTAATTTCAACCTTGTGCCCATTTGGCCTGTGGTCGCATCTCTGGCAGCCTCAGTAGCTCAAAAACCAAGCCCTGAAGAGGAAACAGAGGGCCTCCCTGGGCCTTATCCACAACTTTCAGGCTTGTGAGAAGGGAGCGCCCTTCTTGCCCAAGATCTGGCCTGGAATGAGCAGGTGGCTGGCAATGGTCCATCTGAAGCAGGAACAGAAATATAAGGAGGGCAGATTCTGAACACCCAGGCTGTAGTCGGGCACCCAGCGAGAGGGCAGAGACTACCTCTGTGTGGGGTGTCCTTCCACCCTGGAGGGTCACTACATTCTAGCCTGGCAAGAAAGGACACTCGTGACAATGGCAAATGGGACTCGGAACCATCGGATGCCAGAGCCAGACGGGCCCTCGGGGATCCCCAGGCCAAAACCCACAGTTTTTCAGATGACAATCTACCACTTGGAGAAAGCGAGGGACTCTCCTGGGAGAGAGATAGAGCCAGGCCAGAGACATAGCTGGCCTTCTCAGTCCACGACCCTCTACGGTGACAAAATACTGAGCTCTCCTGGGTGTCCAGACCTGCACGGGGCACTGCACGCCACCCTCGGAAGACACAGTACAGATTCCGGTGCCCCTCAGCATCTGCAGCTCATTAGCCCACCACCAGCTACCTGGCAGGTGCTTCCCAGGTACCCTACCGGGCCCTGCCCTGTGATGAATGCAGACCGTGATAGCTATTAGTCTTTGCACTGCACCTCCACGAAGCTAGGGTGGTATAGCTGTTATCCCCAATCTATGGAGAAAGGACACCCAGAGAGGTCAAGCAACTCACCCAAGGTCACACTGCTCTGTCTGGCTCTAGATCTGTGCCCTAAACCACAAGGTATGGAAGAAGACTCACCCTGGCCACCCAGGAGTTCATGGCACTCTTGTTACCTCCCCCGTAAAGCTCTCCCCAATCCTGTCCTCTGGATGTCACAACTTTTTTTTTTTAATTTTTTTTTCAACATTTTTAATTTATTTTTGGGACAGAGAGAGACAGAGCATGAACGGGGGAGGGGCAGAGAGAGAGGGAGACACAGAATCCGAAACAGGCTCCAGGCTCTGAGCCATCAGCCCAGAGCCTGACGCGGGGCTCGAACTCACGGACTGCGAGATCGTGACCTGGCTGAAGTCGGACGCTTAACCGACTGCGCCACCCAGGCGCCCCGAGGATGCCACAACATTTGATGGCACCAATTCATACCTCTGTCTTCCCCAATACCTGTGGGGTCTGGGAAGGCATGGCAGGTGTCCAGCTCATCTCTGGGCTCCCGGAGGACGGGTCGGTGAGCAGTTGATGCACAGATATGTGCTCCCAAGACAGGTACAGAGAGCACAGAGAAACAGCCCCCAACTTGGGGGCCAGAGAGACCCAGGCCACCCCTGGCCTGAGGAGAACTGGCAATGCCTAATGAATAACTCTCTCTTCTGAGGGGTAGAAGCCTCCTTCTGCGACCCTCTGTCCCCGCCCCCTCCTGGGGGCAGCCTGGGGCCTGTCCTCAGGCCGAGGGCAAGAACAAGTGCAGGAAGAGTGGGGGAGCAGCTGGACACACAATCAGGCTCCCTTCGGCCTCACCTGCCTGACCCCACGTGCTAAGAACGAGAGGGAGGGCCTATCTCTGTCCTGCCCTGAGTCACCAGCCCCCCACCTTCCCTTGCTCACTTCATCTCTGTGTCAAGAACCCACACACCTGTCCCTTCCTCCCCTGGCAGGAAGTGCTTTCTAGACCCCCAGTACCATCAGAGCGAGGAGCCCAGCAGGGGGCCCCAGATCTCAGCCACCCCTGGCCCTGAACTGGAGGGGCCAGAAGAGATTGAGACTCAGGCAGGGCTGAATCACAGAGACATCTCTCCTATCTCTCCTCAAGAAATGGCCAATCCCTGGAGAACCACTGGCAGGAGTGGTTCCCCACTAGTTTTAAAGGAGGGAGGCAAGCCTCGGTGAGCACCTGTGGCCAGGCCCATTCCCAGCACACCCTGGACTCCTCACCTCTGTCCTATCACCATTCTGTCATGTTATAGATAAGGAGACAGTGGCTTGCCTAAAGGAACCACAGGGATCTGGGCTCTGTTCAGATGCTCCTGACTGGGCTGGTCTTCTGGAGGTCCCCAGGAGGTCCTAAGGCCCAAGCAGAAGGTACCTGCCAGGGGGTCAACTGGCCTACCTTGGACAACCCAGTTGGAAGCAGAGTGGGAGGGAGGGCATGCAGGGCTGGGCTTGGCTCCCCCTCCCCATTGGGGCCCCTTTGCCTGGCTTGAAGGAACAGGGAGGGGGTGGGGAGGTGGGAAAGTGAGAGATAAGGGGGAGAATTAGGAGATAAGCAGGCTGAGCTTCGGGCACAAAGCAAGAGGGTCACAGTGACCCAGCTGGCCAAGCCCTGGGAGCAGACTCTGTACCCAGACCTCAGACCCCGGGAGTGGGGGCAGCCCTGCCTACGGGCTGACGGGTGGGGGGTGGGGGGTGGGGGGAGAGGCACAGGGCAGAGAGATGCAATATGGTGGCTAAGCTTTGGTGCCCTGTGCCCTCTGTTTGATTCCCAACTGAGCCACATATCCAACTCTGCCCTGATTTTCTGTTCTGAGAAATTGGAAAAATAAAATCCTCCCTCTTTTGGTTAGAGAAAACATATGAGCACAGGGGCATCAGTGGTGAAGGGCTCTGTGGACCCATGGTTGGCACTCCTGTGGATGCTGCCCCAGCCTGGGTTCCCATCTACCCCCAGCCAAATGGACTTTTCACTTGCTCTTCCTCTAGATGGACAGATGGACACATAAAGACACCAAACTCCAAATCGCTGCCCACACAGATGAATACACACACACACACACACACACACACACACACACACACACACACTTCTCTTTATTTAAAAGAAAATCAGAAAGCTGTAGCTGCCAGCCCCTCTCCACAGGACAGCAGGTGGCTAAGAGGCTCACTTAACCAAAGAGGGTGGTTTCACCTTCCTTAGCTTTCTCCCTAAGCAAAGGTTCCTCCTCTGCCCTCAGACCTCCTTGCCACCCTGGGAACAAGGACATTTGCATCCCGGCCCTGGGGTCCCTCACTGGCCTGGTCTGTCTGCTCAGCCTACCAGCCACCCACCCCTCCTGCCGGTCTGCCATAAATCTTCCTGGAGCCTTGACACTTTGCAGCCTGCCCTGGAGAAGGGGTATTTATGGGTGCCGAGCTGACCTCCCTCCCAGCAGGCCCCCCTCTGGAGCCCCCTGGGGTCTGATCAGTCTGGCAGCCGAAGGCCAGTGGGCTCTGTAATTCTCTGGTGGCTGACATGCCACGGGCCAGCCATGGCGTTCTCTCAGCCGAGTGGTCGGCAGGCCATCGTTTGTCAGCCCAGGACTGACAGAGTTACTGCTGTTTAAACGAAACCATATATCAGAGCAGTTAAATCTGTTGCCAATCGGGGGCCTCCGAGCTGGATGTTGAGGGGTGAAGTGATGTCAAGATGGGTCATTAGGCACTCTTGGCCCTCCCCTCCCCCTCCCTGATTCCTATCTTGCAGCCTCCCAGCCTGTCTTTCCCGGGAACTGTCCAGAGAGGCTGAGTGCCCGGACCTACACCCTGCCCTCCACCAGGCAGCGGGTACAGGTGTTTCTGCTACCCTGCATCATACAAAGGTGCTTCATAAGCCCAGGGCAAGGCAGACCCCGTCTGCTCCCAGAGGAACACTAGTGCTCAGAGGAGCTTGGGTGCAGTCTATCCCTTCTCATGCCTCCTGGCCGGGCCTGTGCGCCTCCCGAGAGTATAGATTACACGGGGCAGCAGCCGAGGGGACAGACGGGAGCTCCTATTCCTGCTAACCCGTGTGCCGTACCCTGTGGGAAATCTTTACCTGTCCTGGTTCACTGAATCCTTACAACCACCACCCCATGCGGAAGATGATATTTCAACTCCCCTTATTTTATAGATAAGGAAACCGAGGCCCAGAGTAGTAGTCACCTGCCCAAAGTCGCACCTGTGGTAAGTGGCAGGGCTGACAGAGCTGGAACTTGAACACAGGCTTCTCTGATTCTGGTCTTTGTTACTAACTTCGGTGCCACTGTCAGATCTAACACTCCACAATTGTGTGAGGTGGAAAAATAGAGACCGAGGGACATCTAAGCTGGGAAAGAGGAGGGATGAGGAGAACTCCAAGAGGGCATCAGCGCCCACAGCATCCCTACAGCTCAGCAAAGACCCCAGGCCTTCCCCTGGGCAGCGAGATGATATCAGCACCATAGAGGGGTGAGTGGCCTCTAGGGAGAGCTCCGGCTCTGTGGTAGGAGCCCTCTCTGACCCAGGATGTGGGGCCCCACCAGCTCTGGCAGGCTGTCTGTCACCTACTGCCAGAGGACCCACTTCTGGTCCAAGCTCTGCTTCTGACCCTGCCAACCCCTCCGGACACAGAGGGCCACCTGAAATCCCCTACCACATGACGCCTTTTCACATTCCTAGGCCTTACTCTATGCTATTCCCCCTTCCTGGAATGTCCTCAACCTTCTCGGACTGCTTCCTGGAAAGGCAGAGATCAAAGAAACCTCTGATTTCCTTAGACAGAGTCAGTTTTCCCTCCTCCTGGGCCCCACCGTCCCCTCTGCATCGTTCTCAGAGCCCTCGGCAGCCTGTGTGGGCATCAGCTGTGTGTGTGTGTGTCTGTCTCCTCCAATAGCCTGGAGGCCTCCTGGGTCCAGTTCATTTCAATGTCCCCTGTGCCCAGCCCAAGTGCCCCACTCTCAGAGCTAGAGAGTCTGTTTCCTAAGATGTATGCTGCCTGGAGGTAGGGAGATGGTCACCCAAAAGGGAGTCCAGGGTCATTCAGCACCACTCCCACTTTTCTGCTTCCCCACCTCTGGCTTTGCAAACAGACACCAGCCAGGGCTCACTGGACCAGTAGGAAAGAAGTTCCACATGGCTGATGAGAGGCCCTTTCATGGGCTGGGCTGGTACTTATTTGCAAGGCTCCTTTACAGAGGATGGTGACCATGGTTCATATTCCTGGGCACGATTCAGAGATTCTGGGAAGGGGAAGCAGGAAAGTTTGGACCACAGAGAAGCCAGAAGCAGGAAAAAACACTCAACAAAGCTGGGACAAAAGCCCTTCCCATCCTGTGTGAAAAACCCCAAGAGACTAGGAAGGCGGCCAGAGGAAGTGCCCTGCCCCTGGATCCAGAGTTCTGGAAAGCCAGGAATGCTCCGCTCCTCCTCCCCTCTGCACAGGGGCCTCATGGGAAGTCTGGAGGAGAAGCTGGCAACCAACCCAAGGGTCCTGGGATCCTCATCCGCAACCAGGGCCTCCAGCCATAAGTGAGAGGCAGATGGGATTGTTCAAGGCCCTGCCTCTTGTCCCATCCATGCGGTTGGCCTAGATAGGGGGTAAGGGTGAGAAGTCCCACCCCGTGGCAGATACATGACACATCCCCAGACCCTCTATAGTGGAAGCAGGAATCATCACCACCAACTCTTGACTCCTGGAGTAACCCAGGCCCCCAGTCCCATGACACCTCAAGGGCTGACAGTGCCCACCTCCTATCTTATCCCGCCCTGTGCCCAGCCCAGGCAGGCAGTGCCCCCGGCCCATCCGGCCACATGCCCCTGGAGGAAGCCCAGGCGTCAGCACTGACAATGCTGCTCAAGGCTGCAGTGGCCCCAGCAGGGAGGGCAACAGGCCCTGCTGTTTACACCCCGCCCCGGAACAGCCAGTGGGGCTGGCCTGGGAAAGGCAAACACCGATAGGCCTGGACTAAAGACTGTCTGTCCCCAGGCCGACGAGGGCTGGGCCTTGGCTGGGCTCGAGGGACCTCTGATATTGGCACCCTGATCGCAGGGAGCCAGGGCACTAGAGGGGCAGCTCCCGGGCCTTGGGCCCATCAGAGCACCAGGCAGGATGACTGGGAAGTTCTCCCCTTGCTGGCCTCGGTCTCTCCTGCTGCTTTCTTGCTTACTTTAGCTGCAGGTACTCCAAACCAGGGGAAGGAAAGCCTTTCAGAAAAGGAAGGTGGTCTCCTCTGGGAAGATCGGTGACAGGCCCTGCAATCCGCACCCCCCAGCTCCCCCTGCACACACAGACACCCACTCGTGGGACCAACCATCATGCACAAGAGATGCAGGGACAGCAAGACCTTTCACCTTAGCTGGGAAGAAGAACATCCACAAGCACCCCAAAGACCCCCATCTATGACATTTGAGGCTGATAGGGATTGGTGGCCTCTCCAAATGGGAGGCCAGGATCAGTTGTCTCCTCTTCCAGACACCGGGCTGGGACAGCCACAGACAGCTTCCAAAGGATTCAGCTAGTCTTTTGGGGGAGCTCAGGGTCTCAAAGAAAGAGAGATAAATGCCTACAGAGACCCGACCAGATGAGAAACAGAGACTGAAGGGGCTGGAGAAATAGACATACAGAGAGATAGCACACCAGGGAGTGAAAGACAACAGAAAGAGACAGAGGCAGAGACAAAAGAAGCAGAGTCTTGAGATAGAGACTCAAGAAACAGAGAAGGAGAAGGAAAGAGGGTGGGAGGGATGAAGGAGAGGGGGATAGGGGTAAGAAACACTCCTCAGTGTCCCCAGTGTGGCTTCCCTGTGCCCAGACACTGCCCAAAGCCAGTGGGCAGAACAGCTCCATCCAAGGGGTAACTGAAACTGAGACTAGGGCAGCCAAGAGGACACCCCAGTGGCGAGCCAGGCAGGAGGAGGGACTCACCTCCAGCTCCTTGAAGACCATGCACCTGCGTGCCCAGTCCACGATGGAGATGAAGGTCTGGTCAGCCATCCTGCATAGGAGGCTGAAGGCCGCAGGCTGGTCAGGGCGGCCCTTGGCCGGCTCCTGCAGGCAGCCCACAATGCGTGCCCGAACCTGGTCCTCGTCCGGCTCCAGCTGTAGCAGCTGCAGGATGAGCTCAGGCACACCAGGCCCTCCGGAGAAGGGCTCTGGGTAGCCGTAGGGTGGCCCAGGCTGTGGGGGACTGGCATAGGGTTCTGGGTACTCAGACTTGATAGCACGGCCAGGGAAGGTGGGATAGAGGTAGCCAGCCAGTGGCCCGTGGGCACTGGGCACGGCCATGGGCAGTGCTGGGGCCCCAAAGTCGCCCAGTGGCCCAGCAGGTGGACCAGAGGCCAGGCCCTTGGGCTCAGGTGCATGCAGGCCAGGGGGCAGCATGTAGTCCGGTGGGGGAGGGGGTGGGGGGGGCACCCCCATTGGAGGGCCTGTCTCCAGCTTGAAGCCATTGGCTCGAATCTGTGCCTTCTTCTGCTGCTTCAGGGCTCGGTCCCGTTTGTACATGGGCCCAAACTTGTTCCGGCCACCCCGCATGCGGTCAGCACGCACAGCTGTGGGCAGAAGCAGAGGGTCAGACTCACGCCCTCCAAGCCTCCTGCCATAATGCCACACTCACAGATCTTTCCCAAACAGACCTGTGTCACTTCCCTGCTCAGTAGCTTTCCATGGCTCCCACTGCCCACAGGTGAAATCAATCTCCCTTAGCACAGCATTCAAGGCCCTGTTTACCATTCCTGGGTCATCCCTTACAAGACCCCGTGTTCTCTCCACTCCTCCTCATGTCTCTGCTCCTCTGCTTGGCACAGCTCCTTCTTCCTCCACCTTGCCTTTGATATTCCTTCTGCCTCAAACCCTTTCCTTCTCTCATGCCTGCCAAACACCCAGCCCCCAGGGCCACAACCTCCAGAAGTGTTCCTAGATTCATCCAGGCAGAATTCACTATCCTTGGCCCAGATGTCCTGCCTCTTGCCCACCCTCATCCTTCTGAGTGGTATCGGACCACGTGACTCAAACGGAGAGTTGCTGGCGACTCAAGGGTGGGTTCAGGGGGCCTAGCACAAGGCTGAGCCGAGAGATGGGAGGTAACAGGAAGGAGACCCTAGTCAGCTTTATTCACAGCATCCAGTCCAGTCTCCAGGATCCAGCTGCTCCTGGACTCTGACTGCCTGTCTCTGGCAAACCCCTACTGCAAAATGACTCTGGCTTCCCCCACTGCCTTCAAGTATGAAGCTGAGTTTAGGGCTGGCCAGGGCTCTGTGCTGGGAGAAGGGACCTCCCCGGCTGACCAGATGTCCCTCCGTCTGGCCAAGAATGTGTCACCAGCCAGCCCCAACAGGTGCATCTCTGCAGCTGCAGTGTGGCCCCAGCCCCTGCTCAGACAGGACCCCACCCTGGGCCCTGGGAGAAGGGAGACAGTAGGAGGCAGAGGGCGGTGCTCAGCAAGGGAGGTGTCTTGGGGGTCCGCTCAGCCAATCTTCCTGCCACGGGGGTGCACAGCCCAGCTCTGCTCCCTCAGGCTCCATCAGGGTGGCTTTGCTACTTGTAGCAATGAGCTCTCCTGACCAGTGAGGACCTGGAGCTGGGGACGTCGGGACATCCCCCTCACATCTAGGAGTCCTTCCTCTAGGTGGCAGGACGTGTGGTCAGCGGCTCTCAGGGCCACTAGGGACTTCCACGTTGTTTAAAAACTTTAGCCAACAGCTGTCTGCTCGGCGCACAGCCCGGCTGGGGCCAGCAGGGTGGAAGCCTACGAGTGTCCACCCTCAGAAAGTTTGAGTTCTTCCTGCCGAAACGTTTTTCCTCTCCTCTGGACTGAGAGCCGGGAGGAAGGGGTTGGGAAGGGAAGGATGGGCCTGGGTCCTGTGGGACCAATTGTTCCCCTTTCCCTCAACCTCTCAGGGCCCACCCAAGAACATGGTGGAAGGACTCTCATCCACCGAGTGAATGGCCTGAGTGAACCTTTTGGGTGGGCTGGCTGCGTGAAGCCTGATGATGGACAGATAGTAACCTAAGTGATGACGATGATAATAATAATAGTAATAATAACAACAACAACAACAACAACAACAACAACAACAATAACAACAATAATAGCATTTACTACGTGCTGGCTTTTCCGTACCATTCCCTCACACTGACTCTAGGAGGAAGACACTACTATCAGCTCTAGTTTTCAGATGGGGTATCTGCAGCTCAGAGAGGTTAAGGAACTTGCCCAGTGTCACTCAGCCTGTGAGTGGAGGCACTGGGACTTGAACTCTGGTAAAGGTGTTGGTCACCTTGGCTCTCGCTGCTGTTGGGGGCTCAGTGGGGGTGTTGTAGGTCTCCTTGCAGAAGAGGAGCTCTGCGGGGCTCTGCCCTGTGCTGCCCCGGCTCTCAGAGGCTGCAGAGAGGGCCTGAGCCTCTCTATATCTCCTCGCCGGACAGAGCCAGCCACTTCTCACCCCTCCCCGGCAGAGATCGGGCTCTAGCGTCACAGTGAGGGGCCACCGGCCGGCTCCGGAAACTTTAAGAAGGCCACTCGTGCCCTCCTCTCACCGCTCCTACCACCCGCACCCACAGACAGCGAGGTCAGCGGTCGGAGGCCCGCAGCGCGGCGCGCGCACCTTCCAGGCGCATCCCCACCGTCAGGCACTTCTGGAAGCGGCAGAAGGGACAGCGCTTGCGCTGCGTCTTGTCGATCTTGCAGCTCTGGCTCTCGGTGCACGTGTAGTGCTTGTTGTTCTGCACCGTGCGCTTGAAGAAGCCCTTGGGGAGAGCGGAGTCAGCGCGGGAGGCGGGCAGGCCGCGCGTCCCCTCCCCGGGGCCCGGTTCCTTCTGTACCGCCCGGTAGGGCCTGCCACCCCCCGCGTCCCACCGGCTCGCCCGCCTTCCGCGCGCCTAGCTAGCCCTGCCGGCCCGCAGCCCGCCGCCTGCTCACCTTGCAGCTCTCGCATGTGAGCAGCCCGTAGTGGTAGCCGGACACCTTGTCCCCACACACGGGGCACAGCTCATCCAGGTCCTCGTCGTACGAATAGTCCATGCCCGCGGCGTCCGCCTGCGGAGGAAGGAGGGGGTCACCGCGGGCGGGGCGGGACGCGACCCGCAGCGCGGCAGACCTGGGGGCCGGGGGCCCGGCGCCCCCACGGCGCTGTCCCCCATTAGCGCGCGGGGGTCAAGGCCGCTCGTGGCAGGCCACCCATCGGAGCGCCCTGAGCAGCCCGCAGTGGGATGTGGCCGGGGCGGCCCCTGCTCGGCCTTTACCGACCCTGTCCCAGCGTTCCTGCCCCGCGTCCCTCCCCCCCCCCCGCCCCCCGCCCCCCGCCCCCCGCCCAGACCAGGGGCCCTCCCGGCGTGGTCTGCGTGGCGCCCGATCGGGGACCCTCGGATTCGGTGCGCTTGGATCCGGATTCGTTCATCTGAGAACAAAACCCCGATTCTGAGAAAACGAGATGGGCTCGGCCGCGAGGAGGACACCAATGAACCCAGCCAGAGTGGGGCCGGAGTGTCCTGGGGAATCGGACAGGGACGAAGGAGGCAGAGACAGAGTCCGAGGGAGACAGAGAGATGGGCAGAGCGAAAGCGAGAGATACCGACCGACGCTGCCTAACGGAGCGAGCACCCTGGGGCGACAGAGACAACGAAAACCCGAGACTGACAGACACACTGATGCCGAGCGGAGAAAACCAGGGGGAGACGAGACAGACAGAGAGATAGGGAGCTAGAGAGAGAACGAAAGAGAGAGAGAGAGAGAGAGAGAGAGAGATCAAAGACACCGAGAGACAGAGGCCCAAGAGAAAACCTGGGAAAGGCAGATGCAGAGCCAGAGACACAGCGGTAGACGAGAGACAGCCCGAGACACCGAGAGGCAAGAGAAACCGGGAGAGAAGAAGGCAGAAAGGGGCGACAGAGACACCGAGAGAAAACCTGGAGAGACGGAGGCGCCCAGCAAGGGGGCCGGGGACGGGAAGACGCGCGGAACGCGGCCGGAGCCGGGAGCCCGAGCTCCGAGGCGTGGCCCCGCAGGGTCGGACCCCGCCAGGGGTTCGCGCCGGGAGAGGCGGAGAACGACGGCGCCGGGACTGAGAGCCCCAAAGCGCCGAGCCGCCGGGGGCCCCCGGGCCGGGAGGGAGACAAAGCCCGCGGCAGCGACGGCAACGGGAGGCGCAGTCCGTGCCGCCGAGGCCGAGACGTCGGGCGGAGGGAGGGCGCGGCCGAGACGCCGGGCGTGGAGTCGCAGGCCGGGCGCGAGACCTCGGGCGGAGACCTCCCGGGCTCCGGGGGGACCGAGCCCAAGGCGGGGGAGCGACCTCGGGCGGAGAGTCGAAGTCCCAAGGAGGGAAGTGCGCGGAGCCGGGGCCCAGGAAGCGAGAAGGGGCGCGACGGCGGCCGCGGCCGGCCCGGCGCCCA